TGTCAAGCAAATCCTTTGGCAGCAATCATATAACATAATAGAATATATTGTTACCATTGTGCTTAATCACATATAATATTCCTAAGATTCTGCCAGGATGCTCTGTTGTCCACTCTGTAGCATGCCAAGGAACAAAGGCATGGCTCTTGCCTACTGCAGGAAAAAGGACTGATGTGAAAAGACCGAAATAAATCTCTCTTACAAGATGCTTTTAGAGTACTGTAGAGTACTCATTCAAAAACACTTCCACAGTGCACTATAATAAATCTTAAATTAATGCTGTGAATGGAACTAGTTCTTCCAAAGATTATCAGAAAATCTGTTTTTAAGGTGCTTTAGAATAACAATGACTGTCCGATATGTAGCTTTTGTTCCTAACAAAAGCTACAGTTACAGCTCCAGTAACTTATAGTGATGCTAAATTCATCTCAGTTTAGGTGAAGCCAGATAGTCTTGTATGTACATCTTTCAGAAACCTGGCTTCTACCTCTCCAAGTAGCCTTAAAGTGTGCATTTGGGGCTCTGCAACCCAAGTGAGAGGTCTGGATGCTGCAGGTTTCCCAAGCAACTGAAGGCTGATTGTCACAAATGACTGAGGCAAAGAAAGAGGTCATTTGTGGACATCATCCTGCAAAAGTGCTATTTGTGCACCGTTTTGCTGCATAAAGTCACTTACACCAGAGCTAACATTGATCACGACACCATAAAATTGTAGATTCCTCCTCCAAAGAGTGAACTGCATTAGCAATTAAATAATTGTATGCCTTCTGCATTCAGCAACCTCTCTCTTGATATATCTAATCAGCATTAATTTAAATACAGGGTAATTAACAGATACACTCATGGATGAGTGCTGAAACCATCCCTGAAAATGTAACCACTTGATGTCTTGTAGCACGTACTAACAGTTGGAGTCCTAGTAAGACAGAACACACACCAGCAGAGGAGAAATCTTATCATGGGCAGCAAAAAAAGATTAAAGAAAAAATGTGCATTTCAGAGCAACAACTAGAATCAAACATTTGGGTGTCTTCCCTTTCAGTAAAAGACCAAAACAGTAAATGCCACTTTATCTTTTTCTTCCCACATTTTGTCTATACATAAGTCAGTATGTTGGTATATTAACTAGCCAGGTATTTACCATCAACATGCAGGCAAGTACCCCAATGGTATTGCTTCTAGAGTTTGTATGTGCTGACCCACTTAAGTACACATAGCCCACGAAAATATGTCTGCAGACAATCAAAGCATGTCCACGTGAGAGCAATAAATCTGAGCCATAGTCAACATACTCAGACTTTGTTTGACTTACTTGGCAGGCTCTTGGGACTCAGGCAGATCCCAACTTCTTTGCTCACGTAAACACCTCCTGGTAGTCTGTGACAGTTTTGCTTCAGCAAGGAGAGTAGTTTTGCAGGCTACAAGTTTTTTTTCCCCCATCATTCTCAAAAACTCATAAAGCGGTCATTGAATCAGTGGTTTGCACATGTGACAGATGCTGAGAGTGCCTCAGTTACTAGAAAATGCTTGGTACAAGATCCCACAGGAGAGGCAGATGGAGTGGGCAGAAGAGCCCCAGGAGAGGTGGCAGCTGGTACTGTCCTGTGCCAAGAGGGCCAGGAGCAGACCCAGGCTGGCTCTGCATGCCCATCACCCACAGGTACGTGAGTGTACCTGACCTGAAAGCCACCTAGTGCTCTGCAGCAGCATTGAGTGCAGCGTTACAGCTCAAGGTCAGAACTGCCCTAACGAGGCTTCTCAGCTTCTGCCTCACAGGGCAGGCAGGAGGAGCCCATGTCTGCTGCAAAAACAACCACACAGTCAGAGAGGGGGTGACCTCATCAGGGGAAGGCGAGAGGAGCACCAACATTTGGGGAGAAACAAGCATGAGCCCACGCACCCACGTGAAAGCCTCTGCTCAGTGAAATGGATAGTGGCTTGTTTTAAAAACAAGAAATATCTCATGAAAATGAATTGTGAACTTCTGTGACAAGAGAGGGTCAGACCAGAACAGTTACCTCAGCTGAGCCGAGCAGCTTTGCAGGCCTGTTAGGGTGAAATGAACAGTTCATAACACCATGGACTCCATGAGGGGGGGTAAACACAAAATTCCTTTTGCTACCCTAGTGTTTTACTGGAACTCAATTAAATACAGAGAGGAAAACAAAGCCACAGAGCTGGTGCTGCATGTAAACAAACATGAAAGTGAGACTAAATTTGGGAACATAACCATTCCTGCAATATCACTGTGAGAACATGAGTCTTCTGTCTAGTGGACCCTAAATTATGCCTCTCAATATTACTGACTATGAGCCTGACAGTATTTTACACAGCATGTGACCAAATAGGAAGATGTGACATTTTAAAAATATGCATCCATGTCAAAGCTGACTTGTTAAGACTGTCACCAAGTTATAATATCCATCTTCTTACTGACATTTTTACCTTCTGGCAAACGTTTGTCTTTATTGCAGTCATTACTAACATGAAATTACATTTATATAAACTAAGGAAGAAAAAGGGCATACTATTTTCATTCACCTCTTAAAAGTACCCCAGGGCATTTTTAAACATGAAGAATGTATGATTTTTATAAAATACACTTTAATCTTGCACTCTGTAACTATTTAATTATTTTGCTAGTAGCAATTTCTTATTGCATCTCCTCTTTGTATTCAAAGCTTACCTACTGCAATGAGTCTTTATAAAGAAACACATTAATTAAATATGCCTTGGCTTCACTAGCCTAGGAAAAGACTATTAATCATCTCACAGGCACAAGCACAACATAATACCTGCTATTTTGCTCACAGGTAGCTCACACAAACTGACTTCTGCCACATGATGTAATTGCCTCCAACAACCTTGAGCACATAAAGAGGCTTCTCCTCATCAGCCATTCACTCACCTCACATACTGTGAAGTGGGTGATGCATTTTTGAGATGTTAGGGGCTATTTTTTTTCCTTTTTTACAATACCATACCAATATCTAGTGAAATACATTTGCAGTGTCCACCCTGCCACTGGACATATGGGGACACCAAAGGCTTGTTGGTTGTCTTCTCACCAAATCCTCCTGAGGAGCACTCACCAGTACTGAGGGGAGTCAATGCCAAACATGAGATGCAGCTGTAACCAGCAAATAGGTTTGTTAGGGCCAGGGTCACTGAAAGACAGTACTTTATAATGGGGGTGGGAGGGGGGGAGAAAAAAGATGGACAAATTAGAACAATGACTGATGGTCTCATATAGAAACCTCAGGTACAACTTCATTCCCAGTTTTCTAATGTCATTGCTGAGTTGGACTTCAGTCAGAATGAAAAGACATTTCATGTGCATTCCGTTGTCACAAACTGTTAATATTTTATTGGGTGAGAAAGGTAGAAAAGAAGTTGGGGCTTAGAAATTAAATAAGTCAATTATTCCTTGACCTTGACTGGATGTTTTAAAAGCTTTTCAATATGTTTGCAACATGTGCTAGGCAGCAATTCTTTTTCATGGAAAATGTTTCTCTGATATCTTACTTGTACCTTCATTAATCATAGGTCACCCTCAGAGGTGCAAGCTTCTCATTTAACAAACATCTAGAAATTGTTCAGAGTAACTCTGCGTCTAGAGTGACTCTGAGCATGAGGCATTTATTTTACCTAACACAGCTAAAGGTATTCAGAATAATGTTCAGAACTGCCTAGTGCACTCTTCTTTTTGGTTCTCTTCAGCTACTTGTCTTGGCGTGCTGTGTGGAATAGGTCAGCCTGTTCCATAATGTTGGAACCGGTTGCCTTTTCACCAGAGGTCCTATTAACTGAGCCAAAACTCATTCCACTCCTCACTTTCCTCGCTCTCATGGTGCATCAAGGTATGCAAGAAACCACAGGTGACCCAGGTCTTCTCTAACCCTTCTTCTCTACTACCAATGCCTCTCCCACTCACTTCTGCCCTTTAGCCCCTCTGTTCCCAAGTTCTTTTTCCCTCTCTTGCTCAAGATATGTTAGTGCTCTTTCCAGCACCACAGTGCTGATGTATGCATCTCCTACTACCCTTGCTACCGCCGTTGCACTCTACATTTAGGGGTATATTTGATGAGGAATTTAGTAAAAATGCCTTCTCAAATGCTTGCTCTGGGATGCCAGCCAAGGGAAAGGCACTGGGAGGTAGCAGGGAGATGCTGTCAGACAAGGCAACCTGCTTAACGGGAGCTGGAGGAAGGGAGCAGCACAGACAGAGCAAGGAGAAATTAAAGCGTGATCTATCAGAGCAAAGTGGGAAATGAGGCTGTGAAAGAAGGTGTGAGTTGAATGCTAACAACCTGAATGCTTGGCTCAGGCCTTCTTCCTTGCTTTCTGCTGGGGCTGCACCAGATCCCCTCCTTTTTCCATCTTTGGTTGTCTTTGGGTGTCTTCACCCAGGCTCAGTCATACAGTACTGTGACAATTCGGGTTGATTGGTGCTGAACCAGTAGCTAAAGCCTGGTGAGTATCAGTTACACCACACGGTGTGTCACTGTGCAGCCAGGATGGAGGGATGAAAATCCCCTTTTCAGTTGTTTGGGCAGCGCTTCACTTTTGAAACATAACCCTACAGGATCTACAGTGTTCCTCATGTATTTTCATGACAGCCCCTCCTGCCCTGTCCCTTCCCAAAGAGATGCTCTAGTTCTCATTTTACAAAACAAGCATATAAGACACAATGACCTCAGACAGATCGTTTTCAGGATGAGTGGGGCAGAACAGATAAGAAAGCCAGGTCCCTGAGCATACAAACCACAAGCTGTCTTTTCTGTTGAGGCTTAGATAAATTCCCTTCCACAGCTTCCAAATCAGAGGTGTAATTAGGTATATTTGATAAATATCAACAAGTGAGGGTAATTCATACGTCCCATTAAAAAAAGAACATGTTGTTTCAGTATCGGTAAAAGAGTACAAACAGATGAGCTAAAAGAGCAAAGGTTTGCTTATAAGGTTAATAGGAGACATGAGGCAGTGCTTTCTGTGCTTACCTTCAGCACTGTGATATTCCATGCAAAACTCTCAATGGCTTTGCTTAATTTTCTTCCTTTCAAACCTTCCTTTGTCCCAAGGTTATGAAGCTCTTCATGGAATTCCATTCCTAAAAATACAGATTGCACCATTAACCAATGCATGATTGATCTTCCCCATAAAACACTGAGTGAGCATTTTCAGTCTTGCAGCTGGTACTTCCTACAACCTCCTTTTGTGCTTCCCTTTCCTTTTATGACTCCATCCTGAGAGAGCATCTTCCAGAATAAAAGTGTCATGTGCAATCTTGGGGTTGTGCTTCCACTTTGCATGTGACTCTCCTTGCCAGCGCTGGGGTCCCACACAGGCACAAGCCTGGTTCCCTCTCACACTGCCTGCAGTCTGCATTGCTGCAATATTGCAGCAAAAGGCAATGGCTGGCAACTCTCCTGGCACAGATGATTTTGCCCCTTGGAAGGCTCTCTGACAGACATGGAAGATACCTGTTCAGCACAGCAAATACAGACTCCAATGCACATCTCCTCATTAATCTTAATTGCAGTCATACAGAAAAGCCTTTACACTTCACAATGATAAACTATGTCAGAAACACATAAATCTAATCACAGGATTGCTATTCCTCCAGTGCAGAAAACTGAGACTTCCAACCACACCCCTGTTACATTTCATTGCTACTTTCTGTGGCAAATGCCTGCAAATCTGTTGCTGGATACAGGAATTCAGGAAATCTGGGAGGGGATTAAAAATCTTAAACTATCAAACTGGCCCGCCAATTTCACAAGATTTGCACAGTGTATGCAAATATTTCTCAGAGTCTGGTGTGGATTGAGAGACAAAATGGAGAGAGAGCTGTTTGTGTTCCCCTAATTTGTACCTTACAAAGGCCAAATTGGCACCAAATCACCCCAAAGCATCAGAAGCCCAACCTGGCTGAACAAACCAAGCTCCATCTCCAGTTGTTTCATAGCTCTCCCTCCCCTACCATTTTAAGGTAAATGTCACCCACAAATTCAAGCTTCACTGAAATTACATCAAAGAAATGCCTGTTGAGAGAACATCTGCCCGGTGTAAATGCAAAGGGCTGCTTAGCAGGTTGCTGAAGGACAGTCCAAGGCAGGCTTGCACTCAGCAGAGCTTGCCCAAAGCACTCCCAGAAGACTAACAATAAGTTTTTTCTTGCCTTACGGCGACTCCAGGAGCTCAGTAACACTGAGGCAGTTCAGCCCCACACAATGCAAGATTTCTCTATTGTTTATATTCCAAAACTTCACCCACTCACAGGTTTTGCCTGTAAAGAATAAGAGAGTTCCTTTGGAAAACAGTCTAAATAACTGCACCCTAAGCAAGATGTCCTTTCAGGTGTGCCCCGTGCCAACTGAATTACAAATCATTTCACTTCAATTAGTGAAAGAAAACCTTCAAATGACTCGCTTTGTCCTGGAAGAAAAAACATGAAGGCTAAGGGATCTTAGCTCCACGCCGGCAGCCCTGCCTTTATGCAGCATCCTTTTAGGTATTTCTCCCTCTGGACCTCACTTCTCCATCTCTAACTTGGAGACAGTGCTGCCTCAGAGAGAGGGAGCCACAAACATTTGTTAGGCTGTGGGTAGCAGCACCAGGGAAAGCACTTATCAGGTCAATTCTCCAAGCTGCTGCTGATCCCTGTGCGTTGGGCTGAGCCTGCACATTTAAAAAAACCAACAAAATCAGCCACCTGAAAAACCATCTGGGAGAGTGGGCAGGACCCTGAAGCACAGGGAACCCAGACCAAAATAGGCTATTGACAGGTTCTCTGTCAACCCCGACAGGCTATGATGTGAAGCAGAGGTCTGGTAGGAACACATGTTCAAAGGGAGCAGAACTGGGGTGAGGTGAAGGACTACATCACAGGCAATTGTACCTCTGACACTTGTCAATTTTGAGTGCTTCATCTTGCCACATTGAAACTGTTATATAACAATTTGCCTGGGTAACACTTGCAACAAACTAATTGGCAATTGAGTGCAGGGAAGGATATTCTCTCTCCTAATCCTTTCCTCTGTCTAAATCCTCAGGCTTCAGAGAAGCACTTCGTATCTCTCCAGCTGTCTTCTCAATTAGAAACAATATCTTAAGTCTAACAAAGCAAAACAAATGAAAATACAAGTGGATACAGCAGCAAAGAGAAAAACTTGAAAAAAATCGTCTTTTTCCAGAGGGAAGGAAGGAGAAGGGAACTGCATGGAACTCTGGACATCAGTGTGGTGGCAAAGTACTGCATCATGCTCTCTGTACACATCTCCAGCCCCTTGCTCACAAAGACACCAAAAGCGCCCAAGCAAGTGTTGTGGGTTCTTCTCTTTTGTGCACAGAGCAAACTGGGTAGAAAGGTGTCTGATGCTGCTGAGGGCCTGCATGGTGTAAAGTATTGCTCTGAAATTACACCACCTGGGGAGACCCTCCTGGTCCTGCATCTTCTCATTACTGTCCCATTCCTTAACCCTCTGCACACAATGAAGGCCTTGGGCTGAGGAATCTTATGCTGCTTATGCAGATAAACAGAACCCAAGGCAATGATGAGGCCCATGAAATCCAGTGAGAAACCACCACTTGCCTCTCCTCCCTTTGCTACCATGGTGCCAGCATAACTAAAGAGCAAAGACTGGGTTCCACCCTGCTCTTGGACCACACAAAAATCAGTTAAATGCTATTGTTGAAACAGTTTCTGAATTCCTTCTAATTAAAAAGATGAATTAAAATATTTACTGCAAAACAGCTGTTTCATTCATTATTTACATTTAGTAGAAGCAAATGGTTGTAGCCTGCATCACTTGCCAAATCCAAAAAAGTCTATCAGAAACAATAGTATTTATGATTGTTGTGGTCCCAGGAGACCAGGACTAAGAACACAAATTAAATGCAGTCACGAGTGTTTGCGTTACTGACCTTCAAGGCTTGTTATAGGTTAGGAGAGGTACAGCTGTACAAATTTAATAAATTTAATTTCTGCAATGAAAACTCCTAATGGAAATACACTGTGTGTATTTATTCAGCATGGTTTCTGACACATGAAAGCTGATGGATTTAGTTTTGGAATATTACCACTGCCAAATGTGGACTCTTATCTCTCCAATGGGGCATGAGTGGAAACTACAGGAGACATCTCCCAGTTCAAAATCTAGCCTGCTCTCCTGAACGGTGATGAAGAGAGGGTTGCATGAATAACCTGAACTGAGAAGCACAGAGATGCTGGTGATTTCTACTATCCTGAAACAGGAGTGGGAACCTGTGGCAGAGTAGACAGCACACAGGTGGCCACTTCTGAAACCACCTCTTCCACTTCTACTGGTGCATACTAGTTCAGACAAAGATATCAGTACAATACACCAGCAATGTAAGATCTACTTCACACCTACTTACAGTATTTTGTGCCCATACACCTGACAAACATAATGAAGAGCCACACAGACTTGCTGTGATACAACAGAATTATATTGGCTCAAGATTACAAGGTGTAAACCAAACCTAAACAGCAAAAGAAAGGAAAGGCAGGCAACACAGCTTGTTCCTGTGGTTATCAAAACCTCTTGCCTTCTCTGTGTTCAAGGGAACAGCTGGGGTAGAGAATGGCACTCAGTAAAGGCAGGATGCCTTCTCACCCCCTCTTTTTAATTGAATGCCTTTCTAGTTCATTTGACTAATTTAAATGCTGTCAGACATTTCAGAGCTATAGAGCAGATGGAGAAATAGCTTTTAAGGTGAAAGCTGAATATTTTTCCCTCTTCCCACGCCTGCATTGCTACTGGAAGATGAACTTCGGGAGGGTGGAATATGCCAGGGAAAGACTGGAATGCTCACTTACATACCAGGGAACAAATGCTACATTAGCAACAAAGTGTAAGTAAACTATGGCATATTGTTTCCCATCTTTCATCCAGAACTGCACAATAAAGATGGATTACCTGCTTTCTGGCACTGAACAATCTTGTCATGAGTGATGTCTGCCGTCTCGATAAGAACCCTGCTCTCTTGAATCATCTGTCAAAAAAAAAAAAGGAAAAAAAATCAGTATTACAAGGGTCTCCTGCAACACCTAGAGCACAGAAAAGTACAAAGCTTGAAACTTGGGAGGAGATCTGCTCTGCAAGTAACACTATGAAGACTGGATCCTTCCTTCCTTCTTCCTATCAAAGCTCTGAGATCTGTATCAAGATAAGTGTCAGTTGCTCAGAAAATGTTTTGCTCCAAAAGTTAAAGAACAGCTGTTTTATATCAGTGAAACACCACTGCAAATAACATAAGAGATTTCAGAAGAAAGCAAAGTTAGCAGACAAAATTAATTCTATGTGAAATCAAGCCCTTTCTAATTAGTACTTTTTGTGAAACAAAAGGAGAAATAAGTACAGTCTTTGACATATGTGGTTATTAAAAATGTTACCAAGTCATGAATAGAGTTGATCTCAAAAGGTATTTAAGCCTGTGCTGAACTTTATGCCCTACAATAGTTCAGACAGCTACAGTATTTCTTGAGTTTCTCTTTGGAGAAATTCAGATCCAAATCTCACCTTATCCTCAGTATTTCTGTTGAAGTTTAATGGAAAAGGGAAAAAGAAACCCCCAAAACAAACCAAAAGAGGCAGTTTCAACAAGCCTACTCAGAAGTTTAAGGAGATGTCCATACTTACACATCTTTCCAGAGCAGTCCATTATCAGCAAACAAATGAAGGGTCCACTATGTGACAAGTTTCCTGAGCCTCCCCGCTTGCAAATACTAATCTCCTTTGATGGCAACAAGCTTCCAAAACCCCTCAGAAACCCAGGCAAGCAAGAAAATTGGTAGTACATACATCTGTTACAGAAGGCAAGAACATGCTGTATAACAAACTGTGACTGAGAATAATCTCCCTCTCCTGGGATGTACACCACAAACCTCAATCAAATCTAAACAGCACGAGAGTGGTGCCAATTAGAAATGAAGCAAACTGAATACTGTGCCTAATATTACAGCCTGAAATTACAGAAGCTGCCATCTGAAAGCTTTGCCAAAATGCTGCAACTGCTAAAAGCCTTCCCACTTTCAAACAGACCAAACATGAAAACACAACTGGTACGTTTCAATGGTTTCAGTGGAAGACAGCATAACAATATTAAATTAACACTTGCAAATTAGCACTCATTGTTTTAATTAGACACAGGGGAGGAGAGATGCTTCCACTTGTCACACCCAAACTCCCAGACTCTGGAGAAATTCAGGTCCAAATTTTGCTCCTTGTGCCACCTTTATTTCTTATTAAATGCATTAAGACAGGCTGCATTTAATAAAAGTACCTATGCCTTTGCTTTGATATAAAGAACACATGGAAAACAAAACCCATTATCAGCTTCACAGGAGAGTGAAAAAAGCATGATACACCTACAGAGTGCAAAATTGGTTTTTAACAGAACATACCCAGTGGATATGCCTGAGATTGAAATTACTTTTGATAGTATCCTTTGCCTTTCATTCTTATTACTTGCTTGTTCATGCATCATGTTGATTTTTTTCCTCTTTGATGTTTTCACTTGTCATCTAGAAAGAAATGACAATTTCTCCCCACACTCTGGCTTTTCTGTACCACAGCACATTGCTATTTTGTGCTGAAGGAGCCATTCAGCTGGCAACTGCAAACGCCGAAGTTGGTCTGAGCAGTAAAGACAGGGAGAGTCCCAGAAAACCTGCAAGTCACTACAGAGGCAGCCAGAGGCCAAACATGCATCTCTTGCACACGCAGACATGGGCTTGTGAGCCAGTGCTGGCACTGGCCGGTCCAGCCAGGTGTTACCAGCAATCTCCATGGCTGCTGAATTCCATGGATCTGTCCTCCTGGGCTTGGGTCCCCACTGGGTCTGTGCCTGCACCCAGCAGCAAGGTGTGCCCTGTGAGATCAATTGCATCTAAGTTGGTACAGGATATCCAAAGTGTCAGACTGTGCTCAGATCCCTAAAGCAGAATGTCATTTGTGAGAGTTTTTTATATATACGCACACACACATATATATGGCCACAGGAATTATCCTACCACACACAAAAAAAGCAAGTTTGAGAGTCATGCTACTATTGGACCCACTCCTGGGAGTTTCTGGCATGCCTGTTTTAGGATTCTCAGGCATGAAGGTATTATATTCATTTTTTAACAGAAAAGTGGTACTAGGATGTCAATTATCCCTTATTGCAGAGTAGGTAGAGCAGCCCTCCACTCCTTTGATGCTGACATCAAAGTCTCACTGCTCGCAGCTCAGCAAGAACAAACAACTAAAACCATATCATACAGCAGAATTTAACCTGTTCCTGTCTTCCTGCTCAGCAATAATCTTCACAAAAATAAGCAGCTTTTATAGCTTTTGTCCCATGACAAATCCTAAAAGTGGTTTCAGAATTCCTCAGCTCAGTGACTGGTGTTAGGGGACAGCCTCAGCGACCAACTGGCACCTCCTCTCACACATTCCTCTAAGAAATAATGCACTAGGTAGAAAAAATACACCCTGGGCCAATTATGATATATGATTTTGGCTGGCCTATGATATCTTCGCCACCTGTGATAACCCAGCATGCAGGACCCGGTATCTCTACATGACAGGCCAGACTCTGCTCCCAGCAAGAGCTGCACGTGCAGTTTCAGTGGGCACAAGATCCTGCTTCCCAATGCTATTGTAAAAAATCATATCAATAGGCTAGTGCAAGGACAAAGCCTAGGTGGTCACTGTGAAGGACCAGAGACTGACTCATACAAACAAGAGTACAACAGGCAAGTAACTCCCACCCAGGAATAAAGTTATAGCATAGGGTCATGGCATTTGGATACAGTTATTTCTTGTCACTGGTTGTGAAATGAATCCATGGTTTCCCAGTCTGAATCATCCCTTGCTTTTCCAGCTGCCATCACATCCAAAACCCTTCTTGGAGATGTCACCTGCTTCTTGTAAAGTAGGTGACAAAAACCAGAAGCTCTAAACACAACACGGAAGGTGGTGAGATTTTCTGCTGAGAAGGTGACTCCATAAATCACATGACAGCCTGAGATTTTCTAGCCCAGTTTTGCCAGTAATGTTTCAAAACCCACCAACCTGCCTCAAAAGTGGAGAGTAAGCTTTCTGATGTTTGCTGCATGAACTTCCATGCACTTTTACTCTGCTCAGACCTGCACTGAGCACTGCAGGCAGTTGTTTCATCTGGCTGGAGCCCATCAGGCTGCTGTTTAATGTCAGCTCCTGAGCAGCAACTCACTTCTGTGAGTGACTCACAGAGAGAGAGAGATGTCCTGCTCCGTGTTCCACCAGCATGTGTTAACCCCTGAACATTGAGCTTCAAGGGATTGACCTCCATATACTGAGAAGCAACCTTTTAGAGGATGGATGCTGATATCTGGGTCCATTTGGACTCAGGAAAGAAATTTTTAACAGCTGCTAAAGCTGGCAGGATTGATTAAGACAACTTGCATTTCCCATGTCAGAAAGAAGGTGATAAACTTTACAGAGTGATGTGCTTAATGTAACTATAGGGGTGAAAAATTGGACAAAAATAAGAGTGAAAGCATACAAAATCTGATTATGTAGGTATAATATTCAGTAATTATATTCAATACTATATCTAATAATATAGGTATAAAAATTCAGTCCCTACAGGATAGGGACTGAAAAAGCTACGCAGAAGATTGAATGGGAGAAACCACTACATACCTTGGCATCATTTGGGGTCCTGCTAATTTCAGTACTGGGCCCTGCATCCCAAGGGCTGAGACCCGCAGGGAGGACATGGGGTTCCTCCTAGAGCTCTGTGGGGACAAGGCACGGCCGCTCCTCACTTCAGGGACTGCTGTCATGTTTCCATGGGAGCACGGACACAAAGATTTTTGTGAGTCCTGGAGGTGCTAACCCTCCTGGAGAGGCTGCAGCACCAGAAACACTCTCACAACAAGGAGTGAACAAGGGGCTGTTCAGACTGACAAAAGATGCACATGGCACAAGTCCCAGAACTAAATGTCACATTTAATAAACTAATGGGAATGAAGAATACAAGGCCTCATCTACATAGGTTAGTTTTTTTCTGAAAAATAGCTCATTTAATTTAATTGAATTTAAATATTATTATGCAATGCTGAAAGCAAGACACATAAACTTGATTCATCACCATCTACCTGAAGCACCCTGTTCATGCTCGATTCTCACAAAAGCATAGGAAGCAAGAGCTGCCACAAACCCAGGGGATCTCTCTTTATCCAGTATATGAGACCCAGAAAGTGCAACAGACCACAAGCTGAAAATATAATTGACCTGTCTCACTTCAGTGTCTAAATATAGCATGAACTATCAAATTTAAAATCCCATTGTTTCATGCACAGAACAATGCTTTATTTTGTCACTTCTGTTAAGTGTTAATTACAAAGCTAAAAAAAAAATTAAGTGAAATTTAATATATCTTAATGCTGAGGTCATCATATTACTCACACGAAATTAATAGGGTTATTTATTACCCATATTAAAGGCAGTTTAATCATAGGATCAGTATAAACTGAACAAAAATGTTCTTTCTTTTTATTTTAATGAACTCCTGTGCTAAAGACCAATTTCTTCTTTTCATTACAAACTATTCTACAAACTGAAAGGGAAAGAGGAAATTAACACAGCAGAGTCTCACCAAAAAAGGGAAAAAAAGACAGGAAAATCTTCTGGTGGCAAATTAAAGCACTGCTCCTGCTAGGAAGATAAATGATACAAAAGGGACATTTTAAGGAATCCTCTCATAAATATTCCAAAGTTTAGAACAGAAACTGACTGAACATCAAACTAAAAAGTAGCCTTCTCTTAGGTATCTGCTCATGGCCATTGCCACAATCTTCTATGCCTTTCACTGACAATGTAGAATTTTTCCTGGGTAAGGGGTACTATATTGTGCCTTTATTGTGATTAAAAATAGTGCAAACCAACCAACCAACCACAAAAACAAACAAACAAACAAAACTCAAGCCAAAGGAATCAATCAAAAATAAAAGAGGTTACGAA